AGAGGGTGGAGGGACGGCGCAGGAGAGGAAGGCCCTCTATGAGGTGGATTGATTCAGTGACTGGGGTAATCGGGATGTGAGTGTCAGAGACAGTGTGATTGGCACAGGACAGAGCGGAGTTTAGGGCTGTTGTACATAGAGTCGCTATGAGTCGCAGGCGACTCGAAGGCACATAACAACAACAACAACATATACAATGATATCTTGCTTATCTTCTCAAATGGCTTAACAATTTTTTCCTGTATTATTATTTTTTTTATTGTGTACCTTCAAATTGGATCTGATTGGCACAGGAGGAGATTGCCCCTCTTTCTCCAGCAGAGTATCTGGTGGATTCCAGTTTCATGTAAATATTACCTTTGATTTCATAGTTTGACATCAAGCATATATGTAATTTTTCTTAATAATTAGCCTATTGTTAGATATTCAATTTATTTCTACTTAAAATAATTATAAACATTGAAGAATAGATGAAACTTTTTTTAATGGATACAATATAGCTCAGATGTAAGTCAACCTTCAAGCCATGGAGATTTTTAACATTTAAATGAAAATAATTTGAGTCTCCAGCTCACTGTGGTGAAACTCCAGCTAGTTCCTACTATATCTTTGATGATCCTTCAGGATTTACTTCTTGTAGTCAGATCTAGTTCAAATTTTTACTTCTGCTCACTCTTGATTCCACTTATTTCTGTCCTCTGTGTCAGCTCCTTTCTCTTTCCTACAATGATTCAACCATAATAATAGATCAGAACCTCCTCATAAATTCTCCAAAACACAATTTAAACAAGGTAACGATTACAGGTGGGTAGATGTGTGTAAGACTTCTATTGTTGATTTGACAAATAATACTGCAAATAATAACCATTAGATATTCCTGGTCTTAAAAGTGCACAATGAATTTTTTTTTTTATTTTTTACTTTTCAAAAAGAAAAGTAAATTGGGGGAAAGGGTGGGCGGGGAGAAAAGTGCAACAATGAATGAATGGAAATTCAAAGTCTCTGTAAACTCGTTAAAATAAATTTAAAATTTAAAAAAAGGGGGGGGGAAGTGATACTAGGAATTTTTTACTTTTTGACTTTCACTTGAAAGTGGCCATCCACCTCTCCTTTCATGTCTGGACTTCCTTAGTCCCTCTCTCATGCTTGTCCCTGGAAACTAAAACTTCTCATTTTATTATGGAGAGTAATTCAGCATTTCTTCTATTTCATCACGTCTCACAGTCTCACACTTGGTCAGGTCCTGTGACCTTTCCACAACTGAATGATCCTTCAAAGTTTTTATTTTATCTATTAAAAGGCACTCCTCTCCTCAAAATATTTCTCCTGCAAGATTTTACCTCATTTCCTCAACTCCCTTTGCACCCTCTGCAGATGTGTTGATTCATTTAGAACATAGTCCTTGAGTCTTGAAACAGGACATGTAAGTTAATGCAGGACTAGTTCTCCTGTGGCATTTCCTCCCATATTTATACAGCCCTCTGATAGTGTGGTAATTACCTGCCTTTCTTGTTGATAGAAGAATGAGATTGTTGGGATCCTAACATGATCTATCTGTCAGCAGCATTGATTCATTATCCTGAATGCCAAGGGTTTCTGTAATTTGAAATATGGGAGGATTAATTGATTGGTATCTTTTGTCCCCTTCCTCTTATGCTTTTAATTCTCTTCGTGTATTTGTCATATGTCCTTGCTGCCTGATTTGTACAATAAGAGAAACGTCATGGCATAGGGGTGGGAGGTGATAGGGTTCAGCATAAAGGAAGTTTTCATTTCTTTCCTCCAGGCGCTGGTCTAACCTATACTTTGTTCTTCTGAACGATACGTGGTGGCTTAGGACTGCTTTCTCCCTTCAAGTCTCCAGGCAATCGCCTTTCTGTGGATGCTACCGACCTTTCCAGGACTCTCTGTGATTATACATGTTTTGTCCTTTTTATATAGAAAGAATGTGACTTAAAATTTGAGAGTTTAACATAGTGATAAAACTTTTGCTCAAATTAGGAAAAAATAATAAAGATTTGTAGTTCCTAGGTGGCCTAGTGTACAGGAAATTGCACCATCATCCCAATGCCTCTCTTGGAGGTTCAAATCCATCAAATGGCTTCATAGAAGAAAGATTGACAATTTTCTCCCATATGATTTACAGCCTCTGATAATGCCAGAGCTCTGAGTTAGTTCTGATTGGATGGCAATGAGTTTGAGTTTTGAGATTTTTTTTTTTAAGTACAACATAGAGTCCATGTTGTTGTTGTTAAGTGCCTTCGAGTCACAGGCGACTCATAGTGACCCTATGAAGGAGAGTCCTTGATGCTTGGATGCCTTTCATCCTCTCTCCAGGTTCATAGGGTTTCTGGAGGCAAGCTATTATGGAAGTGGATGCCATTCCTCCTTCCATAGAGTCCATAGTAACTGTAAATAGTTAATGTGCTTTTCCTCTAATCAAAAGGTTGCAAGTCCCGGTCTATCTGGAGGAACTCTGGTGATCTGCTTTTGAAAAACTAGCCACTGAAAACTCTACTCGGCAAGCTTCTGACACAACAGGGTTGCCATGAGCTGGAACTGACTTGACAGCAATGGCCTTTTATATACGGTGTGCACAATTATAGATCTAAATTAGGCACAGGATGACAGACTCTAGCTACACGTAGTAACAGTCCAGTGTTCAGAATCTGCATGTTGACTGTGTCCAAGTTGGTAGGGCCCTCATGAACAGCACAGATCTTATTTTTCTTAAAATGTCTTAAGTGGCATATGGCTCTGACCTGGCTTCACATGGATAGCAGTCATCACCATCATCATTATCAGTGGAAAAGCACTGGAGTACAGAGCTCCAAGTGAGGCCAGAATCAGAGCGAGTGTCAGGACAGGCTAGCTGGTGAGAACAGAAGTCACAGAAGCAGATGATACGAAGAAGTAAGTGTGGAGAAAGGAGGGTCAGAAGATCAGGAGTCAAGGAATCCATGCATTGTGAATGGAGTCAGGGAGATGTTTAAGGAGTAGCAGAAAAGGAACTATCTAATTAAGCAAGGGTGATGTAGGTACTTAAAAACCTACAGTGAGCATGTGAGGCTGCCAAGTGAACATCAGTGATTTGGACCTTGTAGCTGTTCCATGGGAGAAAGACTTGGCAGTTCACTCCTCTGGAAATCACAGCCGTGGAGACCCTATGGGACAGTTCTACTCTGTCCTACAGGGTTGCTGTGGATAGGAGTTAACTCGACAGTAGGGCGTTTGGGGATTTGGAACATTCTATTTAAAACCAAAAATTTTATTTTGAATGTATATTAGATGTTATCAAGTCAAAATGGACTCATAGCTGACCCCCGCACTGCCCCCTCTGAAGATTTTCAGAGGCAGTAAATCACACAGGAGGAGATTGCCTATCTTTCTCCTATAGAGCAGCTGGTGGATTTGAACTGTGTGCCTTTGGGTTGACAGGGCAACTCCTTACTACTAGGCCATCCAAACTCACTACTGTTGATTTGATTCCTACATTTAACAGCTCTGCAGGACAAAGTAGAACTGTTCCAATGTAGAACTTACCAAGAATGTAATCTTTTTTATAAAAGAAAGGACGATGGGTGACATAGTGATGAAGGAATTTTGCTACCAACCCAAAGGAAGAAGGTGGTTTAAATCTGCCAGATGCTCTGCAGGTAAAATATGGGTCAGTGCCAGTGACAAGACCTAGTGGCAAAGTGCGTAATGTGTCAGACCGCTAATAAAAAGGCTGTTTGGATCCACCTTCCTCATGGGACAAAGATGAATAGACTCCTTCCATAAAGATTTACAGCTTCAGAAATTCAGCGGAGAGTCGTACATGAATTTCATATTGACTGTAGTGGGTCTGTCCTTTTATTTGACATTGTTTTGGGGGAGTTTAAATGGTTACCTTGACTCTTGGCAACTTCATGTGTGCCAGTGTGGTAGTGTGATTCACAGAGTCCCCATGGCTGATTATTTGGTTGCCAGGCCTTTCTTCCACCGGACCTCTGGGTGGACCTGAGGCTCCAGCCTTTCAGTTAATGGCTAAAGTCGTTATCTGCTTGTACTGCCAAGGGTTAGTGAATATTGATATTTAAGCTCTGGCTTTCATATTTACTTGCCACTTAAACTTGGGGAAATTCCTTAACCTCGATGAACCTTGTGTTCCTTATTTGTAAGGAAGAGAGAATAAATAGTAGGATCTATCCTGTTGACTCCCAGTCAACCTACAGCCTCTGAAGAAATGTGCTAGAGGGCAAGCTATTATTTGGTTCCTGTTCTATAGCAATGAGTGAATGAGCGACCTAATGGAGACGTTGTGAGGAATAACAGAAGTGCAGGAGCGCTGACGTGAATATGTAAGAGGCCTCGTGAATGTGAGCACGGAAATATGTGTGAGGATGTGTGTGAGGGCAGGAGTGTGTATATCTGTCTGTGAATGAGAGTGGAGGATATGAATGTGTATGAATTTAAAGAACATTTACAACCTCTGATTTCTCTGACTTAGATTTTTTTTTTTAAATCTAAGTGTTTTTTATTAGATCATGACTCAAACCTCTGAAGTGCTAATGCATCTCCATCAGCAGGGAAACAGGGGTCCCCATACTTAAAGAGATCCTGATGCTGCTCGGCATTAGCTGCAAGAGGAGAGGTGTAGGTATAGATGCCACAAAAGATCAGATCTTAAGGAGAAAACATTAACCAACCTCCATGTAATTAACACAGCCTCAAGCCACCAGGACACAGGCCCCCCCAACCCCCTTAATCTTCTCCTCAGCTCTTCTGCTGAAGAATTTGGCCTTTACAATGACTGGTTGCTTCGGGAGCTTTCCCTTCCCCAAGACTTTGTAGTAACCCGATCGAACCACATCAATGATCGGAGCAGCTCCAGTCTTGTTTTTTGCAGCATTTATCCTTGTCTGCTCACTGACCAAAGTCCATAATTTGTCAAGGGTAACAGTTGGGCAGAAGCTCTGATTCCGCTTCAGGTGGTAATGTCTCATACCAACCTTCCCAAAATAACCTGGATGGTATTTGTCAAAGTTGATCCTGTGGTGATGCAAACCACCAGCATTACCTCGGCCTCCAGGGTGCTTCCAGTGCTTCCCGATGCGGCCGTGGCCGTGGCTCACGTGGCCCCGAAGTTTGCAGGTCTTCCTCAGTCTTGACGGCGCTTCGTTCGCTTACACGAAAAAGAGCTCTGACTTAGATTTTAATCAAAAATTTAATTAAATATTTAATAAAATAATTTAATTAAATAACCCCACGATGACAAATTTTAGTTATGAAAAAGAGATATTTAACAGTCTTCTCTCATGAAGTTAATCACTGAAATGGCAGGAAGTGAGCGAGACTGTGGAATATTTGTTAAATTCAGTGAAGACCCTTTATGGTCTCTACCTCTTTTCCAAGTAGATGACCTTACAAGCTGCAGAGGTTTTCAGTATAAGGACATATTTCTCCTGCCTGACATCTGTAAGTTCCTTGCTTGCTCTTGCTTGGCTTCTTCGCCTGACTGAGGTCAACACATTCCTCTGGTCTCCTTCAAATGCCAGTTCTTCATGGCATCTTTTCCCCAATCTACTCCCATCATCTCCAAGTTTGTTTAGTTAAAGGCTACTTTATTTGGTATTTAGCAGATTATCAATAAGTAAGTGTTTTAACTGTGAAAGACTTAGATTTTTAAAAAATACTATGCTCTCAATTCATGTGGATTTTCTCATGATTTGTTCCCACAGCATTGTTTACGTCCCTTGGAAGCACTCACACACAGATGCATTCTAGTGATGTTTACAGATCTACTATCCTTTTCTGTCCCTAAGATCCAGAGGTACAAAGGCCTCATAACTTCTGTTCATCCATGTAACGCCAGCATCTACCGTTACATCTGGCACAATGCCACTGTGGCTCAGTGCTGTCAAGTCAGGTCTAATTAATATTGACCTCAAGATCAGAAGAATGAAACGTTAGCTCATCCTGCACTATCCGGACAATCTCAGCTGTCCAGAAGATTGTTGTAATCACTGTACCAATCTATCTTTTGGTGGAGGGGTCTGGTGCTTAAGGGATAAGTAAAAAGAAAAGATACGTAATTATTCACTACTTGGGGACATATCTCAGAAGTTATAATATTTCGCATAAAGACTTCCCAGTAACAGATCTTATTTATTGTTTACATTAGTACTCAATTTATACATGTCAATTACTTGACCTCATCCTATAAAATGGGGAGAGGGCTGGGCGGGGAGAGAAGTGCAGCAATGAATGAATGGAAATCCAAATTCTCTGTAAATGTTCATTAAAATTATTTAAAAAATAAAATAACGTCAAATACAAATTGTGTGTTTTGTATTATGTTGGCTCATAATTTTTGGAAATGAAGTTAATTTAATTTATTCAACAAGGTTTTACTTAGTTTTACAGGTGTTTTATGTAAGATGTTGAAGAAACAAATATTAGTAAAATAATCTGAGTCAGCTTCAAATCAGTTCTGACTTGACCGCACATAACAACAATAACATATTCCCCATAAAGGAGTTTATTGGTTCCATGTAGATGTGGAAGAAAAAACGAAGACAGTATGAAGTAGTGTAGTGGAACCAAGCCTAAGTACCAACCTGATCTGAGGGAATAAAGAATCCAGTAAGGATGGGTTCTCAGTCAAATCGCTATTGGAGGTGAGTTTAACAGAAGAATGAGAAGAAATGATCCCAAACATGAAAAGATGGATCAAGGATCTCTTTAAAGTGCTAAGGAGCAGGAGTATCAGCTTAAAGACTTAGGTGTAATAACTCAAGCTTTGTATGCATATTTTATTTTGATTTTATATTGGCTTGCTTATGAAATTCGTATACATAGGACTTTACACTATTCCTTATTCACATTGTGTCTCATGCAATCATTCCCATTCATTATGTTTTATAAAACTAATCATTGTTGAACTATGCTTACCATTACCCTGCCTTCTCAGATCCCTGCCACCTCTTTCCCATTTCCTTTACCCACACCTCCCTCCAGTCACCAAATTGGGTGACCCTATGATTTACCCCCTGCTAATCCTTATCCCTCTGCTTCCCTTCTCCCCCTTTTGGATCTTCATTCAAGTTTTACTAGTTATCTTTCTATCTCTACAATAATGGTTTTAGACAGTATTTGTCCTTACGAGACTGAGTTAGTTCACTCAGCATAATGCTCTCCAACCCCTCCCACATTAAGTAATAATTTTTGAAATCATTGCTCTTGAGTGTGAATTCCACAATGTGAATGTACCACAATTTCTCAACCCATTTGATTATAGGTGGACATTTGGGCTGTTTTCATGTTTTTGCGATGGTGAATAACACTGCTATGAACATTGGTGTACAAATAACACTGCTATGAACATTGGTGTACAAATCTCTGCTTCTGTCGCAGTTCCACTTTTCTCGGGTTATATTCCAAGCAGTGGAATAGGTGGGTCATATGGAATTTCTATCCTCAGCTCTTGGAAAAAATGCCTAATTGCGTTTCAGAGTGGTTGTACCATTTACAGTTGCAGCAATAGTGTGTGAGAGTTCCTATCTCTCCACATCCTCTCTAACATCTATTGTTTGCTATCCTCTTAAACTTTGCCACTGCTACTGGGGTGAGATAATATCTATTGTAGTTTTGATTTTCATCTCTCTTATCGTATGCATATTTTCAATTACTTCAATGTATATAAAAAATGGACAAAGAAAGATAGATTTTCACAAGAAGAAATAAATCTGTCTTGGAAGAGATATTGTAAGACTTCTTCTCATATATCTGGGACATGTTGCCAGGAGGAGCCAGTTCTGGAAAAAGGACTCAAGATTGAAATGGTTAGTGAAAGAGAGGAAGACCCTCAAAGAGCTGGACTGAAACAGTGGCTTCAACAATTGGTTCAAAGGACCCCGGACAGTGTGAGGATGGTGCAGAATCAGGCCAAGTTTCAATTTGTTGTACACAGTGTCATTATGACCCATAGCTGACCATCTGGTGGGTTTTCAGAGGCCATTGATTACATGGGAGGAGATTTCCCATCCTTCTCCTGCAGAGCAGCTGGTGGCCTTGAACCACGCCTTCAAGATTGCAGTGCATCTTGTTGCTGCTAGGCCCGCAGAGCGCCAACAACTCCTAATCTTTAAAAATTCCAAGGCTCCATTTGATTTAGTAGAAAAGTCAAGTGCAGAAATTGTGAGGGGCCTGAAGGACCTACAGCATGTGTGGCTGCTCAGAAACAGGTTAATATGCTGCATTCAGTCTGATTGCTCAAGGACTAGATTGTGAAATCAGATAATCTTCCTGGAATCTTTGCTTTCTTGCTTATTAGCTCTATGAACTTGGGATGTGTAAAAGGTATCTTGAGTTTCCTTCTCAAAATGGAGTTTTAATTGTATTTTGTTGAAAGCAATATTACAAAGATTAAATAAAAGTTTATTACAGTACCTGGCACATAGTAAGTGTTCAATAAATGTCAAAATGAAAAATAGGGCTACCAGACATCATATCACTCAAACATTTTCATAAGTATAGGAGCTCTGGTGGCCTAACGGTAAGGAATTGTGCTGCCCGTCCTAAGGCAGACAGTTTGAATTCCCCCTGCTTCATGGGAGAAAGATGAAAAATATCATCCTATGCAATGAAAAGCCTCAAAACTATAGGTCAGTTCTGACCGGAGAGTACACGATAACAATAAGAAGAACAATAGTATGAGCCGTTAGTGAGTCAATTCCAACTCATAGTGATACTGTGTACTTGACAGCACACAACAACACCCAATTTTTCAAACGAGGTATATAAAATTGTCTTTGTGATTAACCAGTGGAAAAGGATATCCTGAACAAAATTTCCAAGGTACAAATATTGGGACAGAAAAATTTTGCACATAATTTTATGAGACTTAAGAATTTCTCTTCGGTGAAAGAGGAGATCAGTGGAAAAATAGACAAAGGGAAAAATTAGAGAAGGTACTGCTAACATTTAAATCTGGTGATAGACTATTGTCTATGAAGTAAAAAAAAAAGTCCTTTCTGAAGGCAAGCTATTTACGGAAGTGGCTGCCACCCCTGCTTCCAAGCTAGTTTTTAATCGGGAGCTCCACCGAACACTGTCCACCATGGGTAAGCATTATAGCTTTTGACACATCAGTATCACAATGCTCAGATCCACAGAACCACAAGCTATCTCTGTATGACAGCAACATGGGCAATAGATTTAATAACTCAAAAAAACACCCTAAGAAGATGGAGGAAATACACAAGATCACTGTACCAAAAAGACCTGACTGACACTGACAACATTCAGGAAATAATCATATATGTTGTTGTTAAGTGCCGTCGAGTTGCAGGTGACTCATAGTGATCCTATGAAGGAGAGTCCTCTATGCTTGGGTGCCTTTCATCCTCTCTCCAGGTTCAAAAGAAACTTTCAGGAAATATCATATAAGCAGGAGGCAGTTGTAATGAAGGAGGCAGTTGAAGCTGCATTGAAAGCATTGACAAAAAATAAGTCCCCAGGAATTAATAGGATACAAATTGACTTATTTCAGTTAGCAGACACAGCTCTGGATGTGTTCACCAGTCTATGGCAGGAAATATGGAGGACGGTTGTCTAGGCAACAGACTAGAAGAGGTCCATATTTGTTCCTATTCCCCAAAAAGGTAATCCAATGGAATGTGGAAACTATAGAACAATATCATTAATATTACATGCAAGCAAAATCCTGCTGAAGATTTTTAAAAAAATGACTAGAACATATATACACCAACAGGGAATTGCCAGAAGTTCAAGTGGGATTTAGAAGAGGCCGTTGAACCAGGGATAACATTGCCATGTCAAATGGATCCTGGCTGAAAGTAAAGAATACCAGAAGGTCTATTTATGTTGCATTGACTATGCAAAGGCATTTAACTTCGTGGACTGTAACACGTTATGGCTAGCGTTGAGAAAAATGGGAATCCCAGAGCACTTAATTATGCTCATGTGAAACCTGTACCTAAACCAAGAGGCTGTTGTGCGAACAGAGTGCAAGGGAGCACTACATAGTCTTTGCTATCTAAAACCATTATTGTAAAATGAGTATAAGGATCCAAGGAAGGGTAGGGTAGGGTGGAAACTGAAGGGTGAGGCTGTGCAGGGGGGGATTATGATTTGATGGAGGGGGCCAGTTGAGGGAAATGG